GTTACCTGACACCTCTGCGTAACTTACTAATGTATTGTTTACCGTACCTGTAAAAATGAACCCTCTTATTCAACACTCCATACAGTCCCTGACATGGTGTGTTGTTTGGATCTTTTGCCAGCTTAATTTCAGCAATGACAAGAAATATTGTTTTTGTGATCATCAAAACTCTTCTTTATTGGTGAGAATTTTCCTATCTACGTATTAAACATCTACACAGAGAGAAAAAAGGAAAAACAGAAACTAAGTGAAATATTGTTTGAATCTGTACAAGAAAATTAGAATCATCCAGATGTTGATTTGGTTTGTTGAACAAGCCTGCTCTGATGACTGCTGTCTCTGGCAGTGATTTTGCATGTTATTTATCTTTCTAGGCATACTTTCCCAGTCCAAGAATAGGCAAACAAGGTCACTCTGACTCTAATGTCTGGAGCATTTCACTTTCAAATTGGCTAAAAAAGAAAGCTGGAAGTGTTTTCAGTGATCGGATTATTAGCTCAAATAATTTCTCAAACCTTCAATTCTCCGTTTCTTGCTTTCAACACATATTTGCTCCTACTCGATTTCCAAGATTCCTCCCAAAAAAACAAAAAAAACAAACAAAGGACATAAAACGTTAAATTATGATACATTTGTAATTTAGATAAACTATAATTTCACAAGCACAATGTCAAGAAAACCATTTTTTTCTTCAGAGAAAATGAAAACATTATTTTGTCTATGAATGTTGAAACTGGTTTTAATTATAGATTTTCCTTTAGTTTCACTGTTTGGAAACTGCAGCAGAACTTTTTTTTTAAAGGGTTCCTGAGTTTGTCTCGTCTAAAGATGAGTTTTCAGACTCCCTCACATCCTATAAGCCTCATAATGATGCCTTTTTTTAGATAGTTATATAGACTACAGTCAGTTCACTTAGGAACACACAATCCCAGTATTTTTCAGTGTAGTCCTGTTTCTCTGACCGTGACTGGCTGGATGTGCTCTCTTCATCCTCTGACATGGGAGCTGGCTCGGAGCTCGTCTACCTGGCTGTGTGTTTCCTGGACGGGGCCTCCTTTTATAGCTGCTTTTTCTATGTCTGCTTCTGTCTCCTTGAACCCCAGTCGGCCTCAGCAGATGGCCGCTCACATTGAGCCTGGTTCTATTGGAGGTTTTTTCCTGTTAAAAGGGAGTTTTTCCTCTCCACTGTCGCTACAAGCATGCTTAGTGTGAGGGATTGCCTTCCAGTCAATAAGTCAATGCAATCAGCTGGTTTTCCTTAGATAGAAAACTTTGAATCAATCTGACTGCATGATCTGGTTGAATTGTATGGTGCCTTGAGAAAGACCTGTTCATAATAACCTAAATCACGTGAAATGTGTTGCTTTAAAGTGCACAGATGCTTGAAAAGTGAAAATGAAAATTTGCTGATTAGTTGCATCTATAGTTTGTGAACAAAATCCCCGTGGACACTTGGCTCCATGCAGATGCAGTTGAAATGTATCATGGGTAATGAAGCACATAGCTTCTAAGTGACAAAATGACTAAAATGTTAAACTCAGGGAAATCTGATGAGCAAAAGGTTCTCTTTGGGTCTGTGTCCCAAAAACTAAGGGACATTTTCTGCTTTAGATTCCCTACTTGTGTGAAACAGAGTCAGGTTGCGTATACATGGATTTAGCAACAGACTGTGTTAAGAGCGATGGGTTTCAGGGTTAATCCAGATCCGCCATGACTATATAAGGCCTGGTGTCTGCCAGAGAGTTCAAAGGTTACACATACCCAGCGCCTGTTTTAGTGCTACTCCTTGAGTGAGATGAAAGACCCCCAACTAATGCATTATCTGCACTTCATGTGTATCTTAGGAAAAAAACATTTTCAATATCAAAATATCAAGCGATGATAAGGTAACTTTAGTTTTCTCTTTTTTTCTGCATCTTCAAATGTGTTTGTCTATGACAGCGGGCAAGATTTCATAAATCTCCTTAGCATATTATGCACATAGGAAACAATCGGTTTTTGTACGTCTCTATTACTAAAGTTAATATTATGAACCATTCAGAATCATATTTCTATTTTTTAGTCTGCCTCACCCTGCAAAAAAAGAGTCTAACAGGATCTTTCCAAATAATTCATATTCCACATCTTCCATGTTAATGGTCGAATCTTACTACAGTATTAATGGTGATCTTTTTCTCTTAAAGGTATAGTGGAGGGTTTCCGCAAATTTTTGAAAAGACCCGCCCTCTCCACTTTAAAAAAAATGCACATGCCAAACCCTGTACCTGCTCCCGAGAGGGAACGCCTATTAAACGTGTACAAGAGTATGCATGTGCCAATTTCTCCTCGAGCACGCTTTGTTTGCATTGATTTGCTATTTTTCCACTATGTCAGACTCATCACTGGTAAGTGAAAATGGGAACGAGCACGAAGGACGGCCTTACATAAACATATCACCACAACGATTGACAATTAAGAGGACCACTTAGTTTGATGAGCAACCCAGACCATCAAAGTAAGTGATAACTTACTTAGTGATAACATCATTATTATTGCTCATGCATATTCTCACATGTCCCTCCCCCTCTAATTATGTGTTATGATTTAAATAATTATCTGTATATATCTTGTATTATATGTGCATAATTGCTCACTGCTTTATTCATTCCATCATTAAAAGTGTTGAAATGCAAAAGAATAAAACATAAATTCAGATTTGTATGCCATTTATTTCTTTTATAAAACAGAAAAAGAAAGATTTACAGCACTTTTTGTCATTGATTTTGCTCCAAAAGAACCCAACAACTGTATGATCTTTTTAAATGGTCTGATGAGTACTTCTTCAGGGATTTCTGAACAGAATTCAGTGATTTTTATAAACAGATAACAGTTCATCTGAAAAATAATTCATCCAGAACTGAAAATAAATAATAAAAAAGAAAATTATTTTTAAGTAACATCATTATCTGTATTACAAGAATGTCTGTCTGCATAAAAAAAATTAATTTTTTTTAAATTAAACCTCATGTTTTTTTGTATGTGACTATTCTAATGTCCACTAGGGGGAGGTAGAGCTTCAAACATCAGACCTAACTTCTGCCAGACTCAAAACCTCCTATACTACATTTGAACTTAGATGTCATAAAAAATGTAAAAATGTATAAAGCTTTCACCTTTTCTTTGTAATTTTGTGTGTAATATTATTTTTAGTATCATCATTATCTTCAATAGTAGTAGAACTGTTCCCTTGTAGTGAGAAGCCTCCATGATCCAATCTTAATCTTTATAACTGTCTGTATAGACTTTTCTTGTTACCAGTTGCCTCCAATAATTCACAAGCATGTGCTAATACTCAGTCTTTTGGGTCATGGCAACCGCAAACAGGCTTAAATCTAGTTTCACTCCATTTTTTTTCTTATTCTATTCACATTCACACACTCCTATCCAAGGGTCTACTGTATGTCAATTCGGGTGGCAGTCAAGCAATAGTTAGAGGCTGCTGTTTGTAAGAACACGAATGCCCCTAGGTGTTTTTCTAGTCAGATGCTTCTCAGCATCTGACTTGAAACCCACATGATTTAAAGTCAGATACAGTGGGTAGCACTGCTGCCTTGCAGCAAGACGGTTCCGGGTTCGATTCTGCATGGAGTTTGCATGTTCTTTCTGTGCATACATGGGTTTCCTTCGGGTAATCCAACTTCCTCCCAAAGTCCAAAAACATGACTGCTAGGTTAATTGGCTGCTCTGAATTCTCCTTAGGTGTGAGTGTGTGTGTGTGTGTGTGTGAATGGTTGTTTGTCCTGTGTGTCTCTGTGTTGTCCTGTGATGGACTGGCGACCTGTCCAGGGTGACAGCTGGAGATATGCACCAGCACCCCTCGCGATCCCAGAAGGGATAATCGAAATGGAAAATGGATGGATGGATACCTCACAGCAATCTGCACATCATTCTCCTGTTTCATTAGAGTCTTTTATTTAGTGTGAGTTGTTCACTTGGCCACATCAGACCATGGAAATGGCAGAGTAAACACAAGGAAATAAGATAAGAAGCCTCATCCTCATTCAATTTCAGATGCTTTTTGATTAAGCTTTATTTTTTTATGAGAAGTCTGAATAATTTATCATTTTCCCCTGAAGGATACGAACTGTATGCAATCTGAAGCAACATTATATGTTTACATTCTTCTATATATGCAAGTAATACATCAAAACACAGACCAAAAAATATGGCATCAGGCTGTAGACTCTGGGTTGATTCAATTATTAAAAAGGGAAAGTATAATTGTTAACACAACATTAACCTTAAAAAGACATAAGCTGAAAGAAAAATGTAGCAAATTTGATGTACGGTCAAAAAAAAAAAAAAAGGTTAGAGAATAGATCCAGATGTTTTCTTGCTAGAAGTCTTTCTATACATCACTATTGTCTGTATTGGTCAGTGGGATTCTGGTCGGCCACATGTAATCCCACATTTAAGATTTAAAGTCTGTTTTGTCAATTTTACATATTTTTTAAACTTTTTAAAAAGCTTTCATTTCACTGACTGACAACTTAAAGGAAAATCAAGTCAGCAAGGAATAATCAATGGATCATTATCTATACCTAAAACTAATACATTCACGGTGATTTCAATAATTTAGCGTTAATCAGTAAAAAATAAAAACAGAATTTTTGCTGTGATCACTGAGTCTGGAAGCGGCCATTTTCCCCCAAATATAGTAACACCTCACTCCTGTCGTCTTCCTGCAGTGACGTCACGGTGCGGTAAACCTAGCGCCATTCTCCCCGCTTTACAAGCAAAATCAATGGGAATTATTTAAGATTTCAAGACTTCACCATTGAAATTCACCAGAGCTATAGTTAAACTTACAATGCCCACGTGCATGGCAGCTGGATGTTGTAATACATCGGGTAAAAGTGAAAAAAAAAAAAGTCATTTCACCTTTCCGATTGATGATCCTCCACGGAAGGGTTGGTCGTTGGATTGCCAACTTGAAATGGGAGGATTTGCCATCGAACTTCTGGCCAGAGAAAAAACACGTCATATGTAGCCAACATTTGGAAGAATGTTTTCAAGATGACTTGGACAATAGCGCGTTGTTACAAACACCAGATACAGCACTGGGACTTGATCAACAGCTGATACCGCACCGTGACGTCACAAACCTGTAGGTGGCAGTAGTGTTCTCTGACAAACATGGTTGCCTCCAGTAAAGCACATTAAAATGAAAATTACTCTCAATTAAAAACACTTATCATTATTGAACAGTATGTAATAATGTCGTATTTAAAGTACTTTCAGAAGTTTGAATTCTGAATACGACCAGACTTTTTCTTTAACCTACATTAACAGAATGTGATTTTTTTTATTTGTTGACTGAAGTTAAAATATCCATAGTCTGCTTTGTAAAACCAAAAGGATTTTGTTGAAAAAGGAAGCCAAACATTTTCCCCCTGACAGCAGTCAGTGTGTGAAGGTCAGAGGACACAGATTTGTTGAAATCGAATGTTCATGAAGAGGAAAAACACCCTGAAGAAAAAAATCCTGGTATTTATGACTCACTCCAAGTCTGCATGACTGTGTCCATGATGTTTGGACAGAGATCAAAAACCACAAAGGCAAAGAAGAAATCTCTGAGCCGATTTTTCCTTTAAAAGGAAACAAACTGATTCTTATTTCATCTGAATATCTTCTTTGATTCTCCACCTTCTCTGTTAAGCATCATGTTTGATTTTGCATTTATTTTCTTTACTGTGATGAAAACAGCATATCTGCTGGTTCAGGCTTCTTTCATTTGGAGTGAGCCGTTGTATGACTGATGACTTTGCCTTTGTTCCTCCCACTGTTGATGGTGGGAATCCCTGGAATTAATTTGGTTACTGGGGGCTGAGTATGAAGGCTGCTGCCATCATGAATTATTACAGTTCTCTAAGGAGGAAATATTACTGGGAGACCAAATAGACCCATGAACGAAAGAAAAACACACCACTAAGTTCATCTCAAAACTCAAAAATAATTTAGGTCAGTTATCTTTGCTAATATCAGAGCTAATATATTTACTGTGTAGTACAGAAACACTCTCTTGCAGCAGGATCTTTGACAGCAGTTTTACAGCCATGAATTGTGTGACTAAATTCAGTTGTTAATTGGCAGCCCATTACCATTTGCTACAATCAGGTGCTTACGAACATCAGGCGGTTGGTGTAGATTAGATCAGCCAGGTAGAGGATAAAGTTGACCCCGGTCAGCACGGCCACCGCCATGGCCTTATCCCAACTGCACAAGCCCATTGTGGAGGTGCAGTTGTGTGGCCTCTGTTTCTGACCGCCGTGCCTGGGGTCAAAGTGGAAGACTGGCCAGATGACTGTCACTGACAGATAAAGGACGACAGCCAGCATGGCGTAAGTGTAGAGGAAACGAGTAAACGGGAAGGGGAGGCAGCCGGTGCGGCCACTGATGCAGAGCAGGATGATGACCGCAGACACTATGAAGCAGATGCAATACACAGACATGCAGTACTTGCCCGTATAGTGATGATCATACAACACAGGTTCACTGATGAAGACAAAGATGATGCAGGCCACAAAAGTCTCCAATGCTTTCAGCAGACCAGGAGTGGTAGCCATGTAGCCCGAAACCTCACCGGGACGAGCCTTGGTGAGAATTACCTCGCCTAAATAGGCAACGGTGGCTAGGCAGGAGAAAATGGTGGACAAAAGGCGGAAGTCGTGGACATCACTTTGACCAATGGACCCCTTCAGGAAGTAAAGAGGAAAGATGATGGAGGCCAACAGGCAGAGCAGAGTAGCATAACACGCAAAGGTGATGGGGAAGTTCTTCCAGGAGACAGGAGCTCTGGTCTGCAGGCCAAATAGCTCCACCAGGATGACAAGAAGAGTCCCGCTGAAACTAAGGCCCCAGCAGAAGATGCAAAAATCCCCAGTGCCATGCGGGAGTTTCCCCCCATGAATAGCTATAGAGAAGGCCACGCATAAGAAGGCCAGGGCAGCCAACCGTGTCCAAAGCAGAGCGCTGGTCTTCAGGACAACTGGCATGATGAAATTCGCTGAATGTTTCTCCTGTTTGGACCGACCCTCTTAGATTTTTACCACCAGCCCTAAACAGGGTAAGCTGTAAAAAATAAGCCAAAAAAGGTGTGTTTTAGATGTCTGCTAAACTGTAATGACTTAATGAAGCCCAAGATGACTGACCAAAAGCTTGCTGTTCTGCCCAGTCCGCCTACACAGCGTTTTCCCAGGCACACAATGTTCTTATTGTTTCTCATGACTTGCAGATGCACACTTTGTAGCATAAACACTGAGTTCCAAATCACAAGTAAAGGCTGTGCTGTGTTTACCATGGTCACAACACCGAATTACTTCTGGTCAATTCACCCCAAAAAAAAACAACTTTTCCCTCTAGTTGTTGAATGTAGGTAATTAGAACGTTAATGGCATTCCTGAGATGAACTTCCTTCATTATGAGCCTCCATGCTCATTTTCCTGATGACTGGAGGGGCGCCAAAACTTTTACTGGCCCTCTCAGCGTGTCTGTCATCATCTTCTTAACATGGCTTCTCTCATGTGTTCCCGATTTGCTGTAAAGAAACTGAAAAACTCTAGAAATCTGATTTTCAGCCAAAGTGAGGATTAGATGAATATTTCAAAAGTACTTTTAAACATCAGGAACCCAAACCATGATTTGAGCTGAAACAAGGGTAGTGATTCTGCTAAAGGTTGTTTCTCTTTGTTTAAGTTGTTTATACAGTTCTACCATTTTATTTACTGTTGGGTTATTTTTTTTTTTTTAGTCTTGCCTACTTGGCCTGCAGACTCATTAAATATATATTTTCTTTATTTATCTTACAAGTTCACTCTTGAGCTTTTAGCGTAATAATAATAATAAAAAACAATTGAACTTTATTGATCTCACATTGGAGAAATGTCAGTCTGCATTTAAGCCATCTGAGTGGGGAGCAGTGGGCTGCCATTGTGTGGCGCCCAGGGAGCAATTGGGGGTTAAGGGTCATACTCAGAGACCCAGAGTGGAAGTCTTTGGGAGTGGGTTTCAGACTCACAACCTCAGGATTCCAAGCTCTATGCCCTAAGCACTAGGCCAGCATTCCCCCAATCTAGAGTACATGACACATTATGTTCAGTTTTCCATAAGTTTTTTTGGATCTTTGTTTTTGTCCACTTCATTCATGTCTATTAGTCTCCCTCCTTCAGGCTCACTACAGTCCATGTGATTGTAACCATCTGCGTCTCTAAAACACTCTCACGTGGTTCATTAATAAAACTTGCCACATAGGTTCCTGTCTTCTATTTGTTTCCGGGTCAAATGTTCAGTTTGCAACGCTCTCCTTATCTCTTTGAGCCATGCTGCGGGTGCTATTTGTTTTCCTTCTCCATGTCTTGAGGCCTATTTCATGAGAAGAAAATAAGGATTAAGTTGGGATTTTCTGTAAATAACGTAGCCCCAACCCAATTTCACAAAGCAGTAAAACATAAGTTACCATGGTGATTTATTCTGTGCAGCTAGCCTGCTCCTAAACAGGCTGTCACCCAGGCTTATTTGATCATGGCGCCTTATCTGCTCAATCAGCGGTGATTATTATTATGGTATTCTAAACTATTATTACCTTTATCATTTTCTGTTTGTACATTGTCACGGTTGAATGTGCTTTTAAAGACAGGTGTTGTTCTAAGTTTGACAGAATGACCTATAATAGACTACTTCTCTTTTAAGGGTATCAGATAAATCTCCATGTTTGAATTTTCTTATAATTACATGAGCCTTATGGCTTTCCTCAGGATAACATCTGGTACTGTGCAGACTGCTGGACACAGAGCAGATCCAGGCCTTTACCATTATACGGATGATCTGATCTGGGCTTGGATTTTCCACTTTGGTACGTTGCTGTATGCCGTAGGTTATGCTAAAAACCTTAGAAAAGTCACTATTTGCTGCACCACCAGAAACGGGTTTCTGGCATTAAAAGGAAAATAGGCACATCTTCATAACCTTCCCCCTCCAGAAAAGATTTAAATACATTAATGAAGGATTCTACAATATTAAACGTAATAACATTAGACTAAACATCACAATTATGTGGAATAATTTTTTGTTCTTTTGACACAGCTTTCCTTAATGTTATAGGTTTGCTGAACAGCACACTTATGCATACACTCTGGAGCTCATGAAGGGGATTCTGTTAATTGAAAACCAAAGATTCAATGTTTCATATGTTTTACTAGCTGCTGTTATCATGTTTTTACCTCAGGGGTCTCAAACTGGTTCCAGAAAGGGCCGTGAGGCTGTAGGTTTTCTTTCCAACCAAGCAATCTCACAGCAGACTCCAGTCCTCTCATCAACTGAGTCCAATCTGAACATGATGACTTGATGAGATGAATGGAGTCTGGTGTGCGATTGCTTGGTTGGAAAGAAAACCTACAGCCACACGGCCCTTTCTGGAACCGGTTTGAGTCTACTTGCTTTTATTCTGCTTTTGACTTTCTTTTATTCTATTGTTTAATTCATATAAAGCATTTTGAATTGTCTTTGCACTGTTTATGTGCTATATAAACAGACTTGCCTTGTCTAGGAGTAAGCTATAGTTAGGCCTACAATACATACAGCATCTGAACACACCTTATTGCTTTCAAACCACTTCCTCTCTGGATTCTTTCTAAGATAGGTCTTCCTCTGTTTAAGTTAAAGGTCAGATTTTCTCCCAGTGTGAATTCTGGGAAAAATAGAATTGTGTAACAAAAAGTGATCAAACACATCTGCTGTTAGATAAAGTTTTAAAGGCTTGATGACTATATGAAGTACCCAGGGTTCATTCCTGAGCCCCCTGCTTTAAAGTCAAAGATTGAAATCCCTGCTTAGGAGAGAGACACAAAATTATGGAAAAAAAAAATATCAATCTAGAAACTTTAAGATCTGTACAAGTTGCCATATTGACATATACTGTTTTTTTTTTTTTTTTTGGGTTAATTGTTAATTTGAGAAAAATGAAGCAAGTGACTCTTTAAATTAAGATGTTTTTATTTGAGAGAATCGAATGTGTTTCAGCAAATGTGTATTTTAGGCAATGCTGAATCAACAAAATCTGTGGTCGACCTCATGGTCTCTTGAAGAAAACTGCAGACCAGCATTTAGTTTGATAACTTACCGCTGGGTTGAAATAGCCACACCTGTGGAGCATTTGTGGAACGGATGAAGCCAGGATGGACTCTTCACACCACCATGAGCCTTCTGGGATCACTAAATTCAGGTTTTGTGAAATGAGCCCCTGGTCTACTTGTGGCTGGGCTCAGGTTTTAGCTTTTTTTTTGCTTTTCATTTTTCATGTAAATTATTCTAGCCATTGCTACCAGTAAAATCAATGGATTTTTAAGGTTCTTAGGTTTGCCTGGATTTTAAACTCAACAGCTAGGGCTTATCAAATCACAAACATGCTTTATGTAACTCAAGAGCTACATTCTTAATGGATAAAGGCAGACTTTTGCTTTTTAGTTTTTGAATGTAGTAACTTAGAATCTTCTCTAAGTTACAATAATATCACCCTCATGTTGCCATATAAGGCCTGGATCTGTTTTACCATTTAAATAAAAAAAAAAAAGTAACATTTCTTTTGAGGAATTTTCTTTTTCTCCAAACGGAGGTCTAACACATTCAACGAGCACTGGAAGTTCTGAATTTAAGAATGTTTTTAATTTTTAAAAGTTCTGTTTGATAAAAGTATTTTCCCTCATCAGTCCAGAACCAATGGGTCAAATTAAGAAATTAATTAATAGGAAATTAATTCTCTGTTAATTGACGTTATCATAGGAGATGATAAATCTGTATGTAGCACAAACAACTATAAGAAATGTACTATTGTTTTATTATTAATCAGTTGTACGTTTCCTTTTCAGCCTCATACTGTTTTTTTTATTGAATGAAGCTTACAACTTTAGTTGGAAAAAGGTATTCAACTATGAAGTCCAGGTAAATAAAGGGGATGGATGGGAATTCACTCAGTCGGTACTTTATTGTCTTTGCAAAGAAAAAGAGAACAAGATGGCATAACGTCTAGCCCTGTTCTGGTTACACCAACTTTGTGTTTCCCTAACTAAAACCCTGCAGAAAGGCTGTGAAGGTCTCCACATACAATTACTGTAAACGTTTAAAGACAGTTGGAGCCAACATAAAATGTTATGAAATAAAATTCGAGAAACAGTCTGGCATGTTATGAGAACTATTATTTTTATCTCAAACACTCCCTTATAGTATAAACAACCCCTCTCCCTTAACGCTTGCAGCTCTGAGGCCTGAATAAATGAAAGTCAGAACTCATTATTCAATATAATTTAAAAGGGATCAATAGGAGACAGATTTTTCTGTAAAAAAAAAAAAAAATCTAAAAACTAAAAATGTCACCTGTAATTAAGCCAGTGGACAATGTTAATAAATGATTATGAAATAGCAATGATTATAAACAATGAAACTTAAAGAATTAAACTTAGTAATTGCAAATCATCATAAAATCAACCAATCAATCAGGAGCAAAAACTCTTATGTTAACTTTTGTCAACATATTTCCCTTTGATTTAATTGACTTTGCTTAAAAAAATCTTTTGCCACCTCACAATTCAAACATGTTTTATTGTTGGAAATCTACAATCTACAGATGGATGCTTTAGAAAAGTGAAAACATAAAGACTTTAAATGACATTAAAGTGTAACTCCAGACATTTAAAATTTAATATTCTCCATTAGCAGCTATGCAATTAGATATTTAAAATCTGACAAGCACATATCGCTCATATTTAAGAAACAAGATAATTTGCTTTGGTTTTTATATTCAAAATATTCCTAATAGTGTTAATGGAGAAACTCATCACTTCACGAAAAACAATGGACATCGGGTACACAGTATCATAGCATGACAAAACTACTATAATGAAAATAAAAATCACATTAGACAAGCAATGACAAATTAAACAAGATATTAAAACAACTGATGAGAAAAGACAAATTGTACTAAGCGCTGCATCGTGTTTTAAATTGTACAGATTAAAGAAATTACAGAAAACCACTTTTTTTTTGTTTTTCTGATACATTTATACACAAGGGTTTTGCTAAATAAGGTTATATAGTTAAAAAAAGTTATTTAATGCTATCTATTAATTAATAAATAATTATTAATAGATAGCATTAATAAAAAAATATTTAATTCTATCACTTAATAGGTTTTTGTAACATTAACCTTCTGACACAGAAAAAAACGTTTTAAATTAAACAACTTACTTTTCTTTCAATCACAACATGCCGTTAAAACATTCTTACATGTGTTTTCTTAAAACTGAGAAAAAATGTCTCGAAAAAGTTGAAGGAAGTGAATAATAAACACCAGGCCTTTTTTAAAGGGATATTGCGTAACAATTTCTCTTTTTACTGCCTGAAATTGATGAATATGCAACAGCAGCTCATTAATTGGGTTTAGCGTCCTCAAGAAATTAAAAATTAAAGATAAGAAACCGGAGACATGAAAAAATAGGACAAACATCAGGTAGGCCTTCTTCACATGGAAGGAGCTTAAGAAGGAGAGAGATTTTAAAAGGGATTCTGAACTATTTCTATTCTGTTTTTATTAAGATAGTATTGCTTGTCACTATAGAAATGTAACAGGAGAACAAAATGTAAACCTGAATAAAAAGCTTTAAAAAACTTTTTAAGCATTAGATTTCTGTTTATTGACTAAAAAGTGATTTTACGTCACTTCTTCTTAAATTTTACAACTTAAATTTCCCTTTAAACACACTGTCAGCCTAACTTCCTTTTCCTAAAGTCATGTGCTGACAAGGACCAGAGGGATGGAGTAGATGAGATCAATCAGGTAGAGGATAAAGTTAATGCCGGTCAGCACGGCTATCAACATGTCTTTATCCCAACTGCACAAGCCCTCAGAGGACCAGCAGTTGTGCGGCCGCTCAGTGTGACCACCGTACCTGGGGACAAAGTTGAAGATCACCCAGATCATCGCCGCTGACAGATAGAGGAAGACAGCCAACAAAGCATGGGTGAACAGGAAACGAGGGAATGGGAAGGGGAGGAGGTAAGTGCACTCCCCAATGCAGAGCAGAATGATGAAGGCAGACAGGATGAAGCAGATGCAATAAACAGACATACAGTACTTGACTGAATGATGCTGGTCATATGACACCGGGTCATTGATGAAGACAAAGAGGATGCAGGCCACAAAGGTCTCCAAGACTTTCAGCAGGCCTGGACAGGTAGTCATGTAGCCAGTAACCTCACCTTGGTAAGCCTTGGTGAGTCTGACCTCATTCATGTAGGCCAAAGTGGCAACACAGGAGGAAATGCTGGACACGATGCGGAGGTCACGGAGCTGGCTCGGAGCAAAAACAACAATGGAGTCCTTAAGGAAGTAAATAGGAAAGATGAAGGAGGCCGACATGCAGAGGAGGAAAGAGTAGCATGCAAAGGTGATGTGGAAGTTCTTCCAGGAGAGAGGAGCTCTGGTCAGTGGGTTGAAAAGCTCAACCAGAATGACTAGGAGAGTCCCGCCAAAGCTAAAAGCCCAGCAGAAGATACAAAAGGCTCCGGTGTGGTCAATGAATCTGCCTCCAAGAGCGGCCATAGAGAAAGCTACGCAGGTGAAGGCCAGGGCAACCAACCGTGTCCAAAGCAAAGGGCTGGTCTTCAACGCAAAAGGCATGATGAGATTCTGTTCAAAGTTTGCAAATTTTGTTTCCTTTTCTACCTGTCTTCTCAGATGTTTTCCACCAGCTTTAAACGAAAGGTTAAAGACGTCTGCTAAACTGTAATGACTTCATGAAGCACAAGATAAATCAATGTGAGACCAAGAGCTCGCAGTTCTGCCCAATCCTCCCACACAGCATTTTTACCAGATACACAAGGTTCTTATTGTTTTCTATGAATCGCAGATTCAACAACAAGTGTTGTTTAAAGAGTTGGTCCCGAGTGATCTCTTTTCAGGAAAAAGAACATGAGAGAGAAAGCTTCAAGGTGTAAACACAGAGCTCTCATACTTCTCATACTACTTTATATTTTGCACATTTTCAAAGATTCTATTGTGATCTGGGCATGTTTGGGTTCTCGTTTTTATTTTATGTTCCTATTTTGACCATTTTCCTGGTGCTACATTCTTTAAGCCTTGCCCTCTTGTTTATTTCCATGTGCTCATTAAAGTTAGCTGAAAGTGTCATTAGCGTTCCAGTTTTAACAGCTTTATAACTCCCTGGTTCTGGTCTCATCCTACACTCTTTATCCTGACCTCTTGTGCCATTATGCAAGTTCTTTTTTTTCCCCACACCATGTCCTTTCTTCTTCTTGGCTTGTTGAGAGTTATAGCCTCTTGGTCCTCATTGAAATCCTCCAAATCATCATGCTACTCCAGGGTTTTGTTTACCTTTGAGCCTAAACCATAAACCTTGACAGATCCACCATGAGAAATATGAAACTCTTCTATATGGCAATACTGCCACCTATTGGTTACCTTTTATATTACCGGCATTGTTCTCTTCTGTGATACTTCCCGTTATGTTTAGATTTGAATATCGTGAATTCTTTAGTTCTTCCCTTTTTTGCTCATTAGTAACCTCTGTGCTCCACTCTGCTTTGTTTAATGTAAGTCAGAGTTTATATTTGTTTGTTTCAGCCTTATGTGTATAATGTAATGCATGCATATGCATTGTTAGGTTTTGTAGTTTCACCCTTTTAGCAGGTAAGTTTTCAGTCCTATGCTCTTTCCATTTTTTTGATAATTTCATTATTATTATTTATATATATATATATATATATATATATATATATATATATATATATATGTCATTGTTTTATATTTAGAGTATATTTACTTAATGCTCTCTGCTTTTTCTCATAGTAGCTTCACTTTGTCTGTTCCTGTTTGGGTGTGACACCATCCTGGAGAGAAATATCAGCTGTGCTGCTGCCATTAACAACTTTGTTGATAGACGTTGGAGATCAGCCTGTTTTTCCGTGTAGTCCTGTTTTCCTGACTGTGACTGGCTGGATGTAGATATGGGAGCTGGCTCGGATCTCGTCTGCCTGGCTGTGTGTTTCCTGGACGGGGCCGCCTTTTACAGTTGCCTTTTGTATCTCTGCCTCTGTCTCATTGAACCCCCCAGTAGGCCTCAGCAGATGGCCGAGGCAACACTCTTGTCACAATGAGGGGTGGAGGTTTGATAGGACCCAAATGCAGACCCAAAAGCTTGAGGTGGTTACTTAAAGGTTTAATAACAAAAGTTCAACAGAAGCAAAAATCCAAAAACATGAATCCACAAAAATCCAAAAATGCAAGAGGACAAAGTAATGACGACAAACCAGCAAAGAGTAACTTAACAAGAGGAGAATAAGTGGGAGACAGAAACAAAGACCAGGCTAATTAGCAGATTAGAAGCAGGTGTGAATAGAAAGAATGAAGGGAATAGAATGGAAAGAAGGGAGCTAGGGAAAAGAAGACTGACACAAGAGGGCAAACAAGAAATACCCAAGAACTCAAATACAATCAAAAATAGCTAGAACACCAGAATGGAAATAAGACCAATGGAAACTCAGAGATAAAACTTGAACAAAACCATGACAGTACCCCCCACTTAAGGGCGGATTCCAGACGGCCTAAAAAGTCCAAAAACAAAACGACCCACTCAGGGTGGGTGGAAGTGGGACCAGGAAGGAGGGCACAAAACAAAAACAAAGTCCAAAACAAAAAACAACCCACCCAGGGTGGGCAGAGGTAGAACTAGGAAGGAGGGCAAGAAACAAACACCAAAAACAGAGTCCAAACACAAAACAACCCACCAAAGGTATGGGAGGACAAGCAAAGTCTCTGGAGGGCGGCCGTGTGGCCGGAGATAAAGCAGAGTCCCTGGAGGTCGGCCCTTAGGCCGGAAGGAAGGAGAAATTCTGGAGGATGGCTGTGAGGATGGCGATTAAGGAGGACTCTGAAGGACGGTGACGAAGGATGACCTTTGGAGGACGGCGTCTCTGTCGCAGGATCCTTGGGGGCCGCCGACTGCGGCACATGAACCAAGAGGGCCACCGACTGTGGCACTCGAACCTTGGGGGCTGCCGACTGCGGCGCACAGCTTGGGACCCAAGACAAAGCAGCGAAATCACCTGCTGAGGGACCTAGGGGGCGAGGAGCGCCCACTGAGGGGCTTCGGGCGCGAAGAGCTCACACTGAGGGGCCTTAAGGACAAACTTTCACTGAGCACAAAAGTCAGGGACTAGTTCATCAGGGCTGTCTGGATGGCACAGAGCGGGCTCAGGGGGCTCTGGACAGGCCAGGGCAGGCTCAGGGGTCTCTGAGGAGGGAACATCAAGGAGACCTGACCATGGAAAGGGGACACCAGAGGGCTCCAAGACTGGAGAGGGGACACCAGAGGGCACTAGAGAGGGGACACCAGAGGGACCTGAGCCTAGAGAGTAGACACTAGAGGGGGCTGAGACTAGAGAGGGATAACTAGAGGGGGCCGAGACTAGAGAGCGGACACTGGAGGGGGCAGAGACTAGAGGGGGATAACTAGAGGGGGCAGAGTCTAGAGAGGGATAACTAGAAGGGGTTGAGACTAGGGAGCAGACTCTAGAGGGGGCAGAGTCTAGAGAGGGATAACTGGAGGGGGCAGAGACTAAAGAGGGAAAACTAGAAGGGGCCAAGACTAGAGAGGGATAACTAGAAGGGGCCGAGACTAGAGAGCGGACACTAGATGGGGCCGAGACTAGAGTGTCATGATCTGGCCTGTTTGCTCCTCCTTAATTAGTAATTCCTCTCACTTGTTTTCCCTCCCTGCCTCAATTATAATTTATTCCTCTCACCTGTTTCCTCTGGTTTATATTCAGTTCAGCCTGAGCATTCAGGGCCAGATCATTACTTGTCTTTCTGTTAGTCTGTCTGTTCAGTTTTATTTTATGGTTCATGTCCTGGGTCCTAGCAGCCAGTGGAAAGAGGGTTTTTGTGTTTGTCTCGTCTCCTGATCGTCCACTGTTCCTCCCCCACGGAGTCCTCTGGGTTTTGGCTCATTATGTTGGGAGGTTCAGTTTTTATCCAGTAAGCCTGGCTCCAGGGAGGAGACCAGTTTAAAGTCCTGCTTCAAGTTCCGGTTATACGTCCTGTCTCGGCTACCCTCTTCCACTGAGCCTGCCTGTCTGCACCTGATCCTGTCTGCTCCTGTGCGTGACCACCTGGTGATGCTTCTGGTCCCAGTCAGACTCGGAACCCTCCTGTCCCGGAGCTCTGTTAAAGCCTGGATCCTGCTACCTGTTCTGTTCCTGCTTGATCTGCAACCTGTTCTGTCTGTTCCTGCCTGATCTGCATCCCTGATCAGGATCGGCTTCCCCCAACTCCTCCGGAGCTGCAGCACTGGGGACACTCTGGGTGATGCGAGCTGCGTCAGCTGAACTGCTAAACCAGGTAAGTGACTCTCTGAGAACATCATCTTCAGTCAGATGGTCGTAGTCACTTACCTGTGTTTCTCCCCTAGAGTGTCTGAGATTGGGCGGTGCCCCGCCCCCCCCGCCTGCAGTGTCTGCGAACCACAGTTCCGCTTTTGTTTTGTTTTATTTAATAAACGTTTGAACTTTCCTACTGACTGTCTTTCCTTGAATACTGGGTCCATCTGTCCTCGGTTCATGACATAGAGAGTGACACTAGAGGGGGCCGAGACTAGAGAGGGATAACAAGAGGGGGCCGAGACTAGAGAGTGGACACTAGAGGGGGCCAATACTAGAGAGGGATAACTAGAAGGGACCGAGACTAGAGAGGGATAACTAGAAGGGACCGAGACTAGAGAGCGACACTAGAAGGGACTAGAGAGCGAAACTAGAGGGGGCCAAGACTAGAGAGGGATAACTAAAGGGGGCCGAGACTAGAGAGCGGACACTGGAGGGGGCCGAGACTAGAGAGCGGACACTGGAGGGGGCAGAGATTAGAGAGGGATAACTATAGGGGGCAGAGACTAGATAGCAGACACTAGAGGGGGCCGAGACTAGAGAGCGGACACTAGAGGGGGCCGAGACTAGAAAGCGGACACTAGAGGGGGCCGAGACTAGAGAGCGGACACTAGAGGAGACTGAGACTAGATAGGGATAACTAGAGGGGGTGAGACTAGAGAGGGATAACTAAAGGAGGCAGAGAAAAGAGAGCGGACACTAGAGGGGACTGAGACTAGAGAGGGGACAATAGAGGGGGCTGAACCTGGAGAGAGAAAAAAAGGAGGCTAGGAGTATGGTTAGCAGGCAGACCAGAGGAGCACTGAAATCTTTGGATTTGTTCCACTGGGAAGTTGAGTTTTTTTAGAAAGAAATTGTCATGAACTTGCCCTGTTGNGAGGACAAAGTAATGACGACAAACCAGCAAAGAGTAACTTAACAAGAGGGGAATAAGTGGGAGACAGAAACAAAGACCAGGCTAATTAGCAGATTGGAAGCAGGTGTGAATAGATGAAAGAAGGGAGCTAGGGAAAAGAAGACTGACACAAGAGGGCAAACAAGAAATACCCAAGAACTCAAATACAATAAAAAATAGCTAGAACACAAGAATGGAAATAAGACCAATGAAAACTCAGAGATAAAACTTGAACAAAACCATGACAGTACCCCCCACTTGAGGGCGGATTTCAGACGGCCTAAAAAGTCCCAAAACAAAAAACGACCCACTCAGGGCGGGACCAGGAAGGAGGGCACAAAACAAAAACAAAGTCCAAAAAAAAAAAACAACCCAGCCAGGGTAGGCAGAGGTAGAACCAGGAAGGAGGGCAAGAAACAAACACCAAAAACAGAGTGGGAGGACAGGCA